TGGAATGACAATTGCTGGCATAAGTCATGCTTGACTCAGTTTAACAAAAGAGTATAGAAAGCGACAACCAAAAAACATCAAAATTGCTTTCCACCAAAAAATCCAAAAATTGTTTTCTTAAGAGGCTACGTTTGAAAACTAATCTCAAACTCGCACAGCAAATACTCAATAGATTAAAATTCCTAGCTCTTATTGATGTCTGTTTAAAGAAAATTAAAATACAAATATTCCTATTTTTCTGAAGTATTTAAACAAAATATTAACGTCTTTTCTTACTCACCTACACTGGAACCTATTCCACTAATCATATTTCTATTTTTCTATTTCACTGTTATGAAGTGCTGGGCTTTTGGGGACATATTTCATATCTATGGGCAACCCCAGATTTTTCCTTAGATTCGAACATTAATCTCTTCCTTTGCAACTTTTTTAAAGTTACCTTTTGTCGCTATAGTCCAACTCCATGCCATTCCTCAAGTGTTCATGGAAAACTTCGAAATTTTGATAAAGGTAAACCTTTGGAGTAACAAGAATGTTGAAATCATGCCTATAAACTAGGAAGAGTTAAGCTTGTTGTAGAACTCTAATTCGTTAAGGTTGTAGGGCTCGACTTTAAATAACGCAGCAGAAGATCATAAAAACAAAAAAACTGGACATTAGGGCTCTTGCATATGTTGTGAAAATTTCTCCAAAATTTTCGCACTTGATTAAAAGAAGTAAGAAACAGGGAACTTTTGCCCCGTCTTACGAATATCTAGCTCAATTCGTTCATTCACTCAACTCTGCTCGTTTTTTAGGGAAAAGTTTTATCGATCTAGATTACAAATGTTGGAATTTAAAAATCGATATATGAACTCATTGTGTAAAGTCGAAGTTGTCATACTTAATGAAATATTAGAAAAGTCCTCTGTGGCTACTGGTGCGTAATACGATGTTCAAAGGCATTTTTTGATATTTTATTGTAATTTTAAGACTTAGCGCAGGCTTAACTAACATATCCAAGAAGCAGTGAGTATTATCATAAAAATACTAATTCGAAACATGCAAACTGGAAGTGTCATTACTAGTTTGAGGTTAGCCCCGGTATCTATATTTCAACTTATATGTTTTCAAAGATTCAATCATCTATCGTTTGCTTGAATACTCATTCACTCACCCACTCATTAATTATTAAATCGATCTATTCATGTCATTCATTCATTCAATCATTCATTCATTATTCATTTACTCACTCAATCAGTCGCTAACTACGTGTTAAAAACATGACGCTAAGTGAGACTATTTTTAAATGATCTTATTTTATCTCCATTTTGTCTGCCGCTTTTTTCACTCACTCTCTAATAAATATGTAGCATTTTCAGAAATTATTTCAAACAATCAATTTTAATAACCATCATACGTCTGGATATTAGACGAATCTGCTATGTGTTCTAGTTAGTGGTGGGCTGATATGCAGCGTGCGTTGTATTTGAGCGCATTAATACTGCAGGTTAGTTAAAGGTGGACAAATAAATATCTTCAGCTAAAGTGCGCATTAAACTTTGATTACAGTCATGGACTTTGGACCTAATTTACCTTCATGATGGATCTCCTTTATTCGGAGAGGAAGTCGTCTCTCCTCATGGAAAACATCTTATGCAATTTGTTGGTATCCCTTTTGCTGAACCACCAATAGGAAATTTACGGTAATGTTCACTTTTGATGTAGACATAGTAATTTTACAATAGAAACGTTTTAGGTTTCGTAAACCTAAGCCTAAGCATCCATGGCGAACCCCCTTGAACGCTACTATTTTACCCAATTCGTGCATTCAGGTATACCATTATAAAAATAGAGAAATTCAGACCTTTCGCAGTGATTCCACTTATTTAAAAAGGCCATAATTACATGAACTTTGTTATTAAAACAAAATACTTCTTCTACAAGTCAATCAAAAACATTCTTCGAATACCTCAAAATTCAATAAATATGCAAAAGAGGTTCATGCAGTTTTGATCTGAGAAAAGGATG